AGTTGATCTTCTTCTGGCCCAGTATATACACGGTATAGAAAGATCTAGAAAATTAGGTACAGTCGAGTAGATTTAGCGGTAAATATAGTGTGCTTGCACAGAAGGTGAAATGCGGTAAAATTGGCGCGGAAGAAATAATTTCGACTATGACGCCGGCCAATTGCGCGCGCAAAATACCCGCGGTACTGACGTGGCTACTTGTTCACGCACAAATTTCACCGCATTTCACCTTTTGTGCAAGCACACTATATTTACCGCCAAATCTACTCGACTGTAACTCAAATTGGGTGTACGCTGCCTTTAAAGCATGCGGCAGAGACGCAGAGCAGGGGTAGCAGCAATTCTGGAGGGGACGATGCATACAAAAGCACAATCTTGTTGCCTAATATGTGCCAAATCACCACCTGCGTATACAGTCAAATCTTATACGAAAAAAATTACAATATTAGATCTGTCACTGAATTCTTGGCTGACATCTTGTCTTTGTTATCAAATGATCAAAGGGCATCACACCCTTCTTATGCACTACAGTGCCTTTTCAAAAAAAAAATCCCCAGCTTTGTGTCAGGGACAAAGTACCATCTTCATGGGAAAAAGTTGTGTCATTTATTAGAAGGCAGGGGAGCTAATTTGTGTTGTCATCATTCACTGGAGCATACAGTTTGAGCGCAGTTTCTGGCCTGTGGTTCTCCCGATGCTGCAGTATCCAGCTAAAATCAAATCGCTTGGCAGGCTGTGTCAACTTGAGAGAGACGAAGCATTAAGAAATATTTAACAAACCCAACTCCTTCGGTCTGTCAATAATATATTGAAATCAGCATGCTCACTTATCTCTATGTCAACTCCCAGCCTCGTGGTGAAACTTTGCAAGAAATCGATAAACTCGATATTGACCACGAGAAGACTAACAGCACTCACCCGTCGCGAAGTGTATATGTGCCATTGGTCGTGATCGCTCCAGAAGTAAAAATTTCTGTTCGGAGCATACGTGCACACAGACATAGACAGACAGACAGACAGAAAAACGAACATTCAGCTTTATTAAATAAGATAATCTATCTGCTTACATTGAAAACTTCACGCATCAATCAAATATGATATCGTCGGCTCCCCGGTGTACGTTGAGCGGAGCTTTTGCGGACATTTCAACACGTTGTTGAACTTGTTAACCCTTTACTTCGAGGCATTGTTTTTTGTGATCTCTCGCTACCAACCCTGCCACGTGTGACAACAGCATATAAACGTGGCAGGTTAGCTAGTACAAAGAACCAAGCTTTGAAGTAGAGGCTTGACAAGTTCACCAACTTGTTGAAATGTCCGCAAAAGCTCCGCCCAACGTACGCCGGGGAGACGACGATATCTGTGATGGACTGAGACAAGAAGCATCGCACTTCCCAGCCTAAACTTATCTGGTTCTCCAATACAAGCTTTGGCTCCTCTTCCATTCAAGGTACAGAGATAAAGATAGAGTCATCTTAATCTGAACGGATTCCAGTTACTAAGCACGAAATTGACTAAGTTACTATATAACCAAAATTTGGATTGCAGGGTGCTCTTTGGCCTCGGGCAGAGTTCACGCGATTTGATCGTCAAGATTCAATCGCTACAAGACAAGTGTTACGACTTCATTGCATATTAATCCTCTTGTATTTCTGCTGTGATAGTTAGTCACGATTAGTCGTGTTGGAAAACTATCACAACCGAAATGCAAGAAGATTGACATGCAATGAACTCGTTCACTTGTCTTATAGCGATTGAATCGCGATGATCAAGTCGCGTGAACTCTGTCCGAGGCCTTTTAAAGTCATTTTGAAGAGATGTGAAAGGCAAGTAGTGGCAAGATAGTATGGACTGAACATCATTTGTGATGATTTTGGGGACCTTTCTCTTGTACTTTCGAATAATGATTTTCTCCCTCCCTTTTGTACTTGAGCTAAAGAGACAAAATTCGGAATGGTCAAATTGGGAATAGAATGTTTTAGTTTTTGAATTCAGTTGTGTGGGTGTTTGTGAAATAGATAAAGCCTATTTCTGAAGGTTCTCCTTTCTCCTTTTCATTCTCAATGAAATAAACTCCAAATACATTTCCACTCTACAGTAGCTGCTTTTCCTGCTCTACTTTTTGACCGGTGATATGCGTGACTAACGTTAGCAGCAGAAACAACATGTCTGCAACATGCAGCAACATGTAGATGCAACATCATGTTTGCGTGATGTTCAGGCCATTAGCTTCAGCGCTAGCCGACGTGTTGTCGCATGTTTGCCAACAAGTTAGCCATGGCCGCAGGTCACAGACGCGGAGCAGGTGCAGCAGCAGCAACCGTGAAGCGCACAATATAATGCTTTATAAACAGTCGTTTCCCTTGAAAGGTATAGACGCAATGTTGGAGTCTTAAGTCGTTTTCAGGAGGTATATTATGTTTTCATCCGAGGAATTTTTTTCAGTCCTTGCTCAGCAACGTATTATTCTTAAGCGGATCAAACGGGGTCCGTAATATACGGTCTGGGGAGGAGTTTTAGGGAAAATTCCTCGGTCACATGTGAACGATATGAGCGGCCGCTAGGCGGTAGCTTAGTTAAGTCTTCTTATTTAACTTCCGCATATGAAGCCCAGCCAGAGGTCTAGGCACTGCCTTTAATGACTATCCTGACTCTTTACGTGTGGTGATGATGCTTCAGAGCATGCGTGCATGTCAAAGCTTACTGTATGTATGAAGTGTTTTATGGGCAGAGACAGTGGAAGAACTCTCCTTACCGAGCATTTCGTGTTACCGATTGATGTGGGTCGGCTCATCTGTTATGTTCTAATTTCTCCTCTGATAATTGTGGATCGAATTTACACATTACGTATTTAAGATCCAAAATGCAACGTTCAGATATTTTGAAATGCTTTGTAGCAAGGGATCGGCTATACACTACAATACTTTTTTTACCGGTGCTGGTACCTACCCCTGTCACCAGTATTACTGTAGTTACAGTTGTTCATGTCACCGTTCCTACCACAGCTACCATTGTTTGGCTTTGGATGAATGGTGGTGGGCACAGCATTCGCAGTTATCCGTTCGCATCCTTCCAAATACTGACTACTTTTCGTTAAATCAGAATCTAGTGAATAAGATGTAGAAATCAGCTGGGGACATCGGACCGGAAATATGAGAATGCCGTTAAAAGCGGAAAACTGTCCAATAGTAAAAGTATGAAATATTAAGCCAGTGAAAGTGATAACGCTGACACTGACATACTTGGTACTTTTCGAAAGTTCATACTTTGCACCCAAATTTTCTTCTAATAATTTAATTGTATACAAATAGAACCCTGTCTCAATAATTTCTAGGGTAAAGTTGATATTGACTTTTGACCAACATCGACCAGATTTGAGAATGCATTCAGATGATAGGTCATTTGCGTCAAAATAGACCGTTTTCGAGATTTTGCTGCCCATTTTCGAGGTTCGACTACTAACGTCCATGGGCGATGGGCCTCTTCCTCTTCATGTAATACGTGTTTGAAAATATTGGTTACTCTTCCAAGAAGCAAGCCAAGTTCTGTCTGCTGAGATGATCAATCTTGGCAATCTGATAAGCAATAACAGTATCTTACCAGAACTTTCTGTGCTCAGTGGTCAGCGTCTGTGCCTGTAAGCTATCTAGGTGCACCAGCCTGGCCAGCCAGCAAAATGACCGGGAATTCTCCAGAGAACTTTTGAAAATATGTTGAGAATTCATACTTCGATATCTGGTTTGTCCTCATCGTAAAAAATGTGTCAAGAAAGCGGGGTCAAAATTACTGAATTAGAACTACATATTGTCGGTCACTAAAAAAGTTCTGTTGATATCTTGGTTTGATGGCGGCATTTAGGCAAACCTTGTCTACACCCTTTCCTAATATATTTATGTGTTTTAGTGCTAAACTGGAACTGGCGTTTTTTGGCGTGCGAAAATGTCTGGCGCCTCTGCCAGCCTCGTAGAGCAACTGGTTTGTGCACCTAACAATAAGTGTGCCCACCCATCTCGGCGGTTATTGAACGGTTGACTTTACCAGACAAGGCTCCTCATAGCTATAATGTCGCATACGCTGCGCACCCTTACATAGTCGAAAAGAGATTTTTTGACTTCTGATGAGTTTATAATATTTTGAATTGGAAGCATCTACAATCAAGAATGACGGAAGAACCAAAAATCGAGAATGTGCCGAGTGCTGCGTGCTATGAACGGCAGATTATTCATCCTGATTGGAATAACTCGATTAGTCTTGAGCCATATGTGAAGAGCATAAGCTATTTTGCTCTAATACTATTTGTAAGTAGGTTAGCAATTTGCGTTAGTAGTCATTGTATATGGCTAAGCAGACTAGAGTTATATACATCTGGTTGTTACGATTCTACCTTTAGTATAACGTTTATATGAACGACATCCAGTACGAATCATCCTAGTTTTCTTGTGAAGACTCGAATGTCTTTTTTGGGACAATTTAAGATTCATATCACTAATGAAAGATGACTGTTGATTACTTGCTTGAGAGAGTCTCAGCTGACACAGGAATTTGGTTCCAGTGTTTTAGTTTTCCTATACCCGTTAGTTAATCTGTATTAGGTTAATTCGTGCGGACTCCTCTTTCATCACTTAAAGATTAGTCACATGGCAAATACATAATCAAGCTTCCAAATTATATTTTGCGTTGAGCAAGAAAAATGTACAAGGTCAGTTTCAAGGTAACACAGCGAAGTTGAGGATCGTGGCTCAAATCATCGCGAATACTCTGAATGATATTATTGAAAGAAATCTATCAAAAGTACGAAATCAGTTCTAAACTTATAGGGAGGGTGTTATTTTTTCGTACTTGAACAGTTAAAAGTATATAAAAAATTATAGAACTTGAAAGTTTTTTGAACAATTATTCATATATAAAAAAATCATAGAATTTGAAAGTTTTTTGAAAAGTTATTCAGTATTTGCTATAAAACATCCTGGTACTTTATTGAAGTAAAGATGCCGATCTAGGTGCGCCTATACCTATCGTCACGTGCTGAAATGAATGATGTGATTACACGTGCAAAGGCGGCTGTCTTAGGAATTCATGTTCCGTCACCTCCTCGAGCAGCTGCACCAGCTGCACCGCCAGTTATTCAACAAGTAACAGGTAAAACATTGAAATGAGCGATTTTTGGGGAGGAAGATAGAAAATCCTCTGAATTTAGAGCAAGCAATTCCTGGTTTGGATTACACAGCTCAAGCACATCATCCACCACCGCAAGCATATGCTACTCCTGTAGTATCGGAACAATCCATGAAACCGTCATCATTCGCTCCTGATCCATCTGAATTCAACAAACCACTGTACATGCGTGGACCTCCTCAGCTACAGCAGCCCGCGCATATCCCGCCGTCTACTGCTGCTCCCACAATACCAGCTCAGCCCCCAGTTGTACCTACCCAAAATGGAGATTATCATTCAGCACATAGACCGGCTTATCCAGCCATTGGAGAAAGTTACCCTCCAGTACCTCATCATACACCGCAGAATGCACGACCTCATGCGCCTCCGCCTGCAGATGTGACTCAGAACTATGATAAAAGATTTCCTCCCAGAGCTCCCGAGCCAAAGGGCTATCCACCAGCGCAGGGACCATACAGACATGACGAGGGATTCTACAACAAACCACCCCAGCAACCTGATGCTGAACCAGCTCCGAGATTTTTCGGCACCCCGCCAAGAAATCCGCATCGTCCACCACCGCCTGGTATGACTATGCCTCCGGGCTTTGGACCTCCTAAGGATCATCAGGCTCCGGCTGGTCCACCGGCAGCGAATGGACCACCACATGGACGACCACCTTTCGGGGGTCCAAATGCGCAGTTCCGTGGGCCACCAGGACCCCACCAAGGGCGGGGATCATCTGAAGAAAGTATGGGTGGATACCATAATCAGAATCAGCCAGAAAGGTACAATGGACCAGTTGCTATACAGAATCAGTCACCACAGCAGCAAGATGATCATAGGTAAAAATTCTTTTCAAAGCTTTTCGGGCTATTCAAAGTTACCTCCTTAGGTATTCATTTAAACTTTTTCTTCCAGAAAACCCACAGGAGGGCCACCACAACGGGATGCTTTTCCTCAAGACACTAATATTCGACAGCCACCAAATGCCCAGGGTCCTCCTCCGTTTCAAAATAGGCAGTCAGGACCACCATCTCGCCCATTTCCTCCACAGAGAGATTCATGGCGTACGGACAGTACTCCTGCAGCACAGGCTAATGGACCCTCATGGGATAATGCTAAGCCAGAGATGAACCGCAATGGGCCGAATGCTGCACCTCCGTTCAGAAAACCACTGCTGAGCAACGCTCCAGTCGCGGCTTTCAATGATGTAAGTCGAACCGGCTCCATCTATGGCGTCTATAAACTTCGTGTAATTTTTTAGCCCTCCAAACCTGCGGGTCCAACTGGTGGACCAGGTCCACGTGTACCACTTCCAAACAGGAATATGGGCCCTCCCCAATCCCACATGAACAAAACTCCATTGCTAGGTCCAAACTTCGGAGCAGGACCAACACCTTCCCGAATTAATGCTCCTAGGTAAGAATCAGAAATTCTTGACATTGCTTCTGAACAAATGTGAAAATTTTTTCAGTCCAAAATATGTTGAGCTGAGTCGTCTGCCAACTGAAATGTTGCGTCCAGCCGTGCTAGAGCAGTTTCTGAGACCCTCCGTACCTTTACAGATATCATCAGTGAAAGTTGTCTACAGTAGTCAAGGTAAGTACCTGCACCTTTTTGGTTAAGTAGGGTAGCAAATATTTATTTTAGGAATTCATATGCATACACTGGTCCGTTTTGAAAATGCTGCAGATGCTGATTCAGTAGTTGCACGAGATGGGGAGCAAGGAATACGGTAGGTTTATGAAAATATGCTCTTGTTTTCTTTACTTTAGTAGAAACCTCGAAGAAACTGGCAAATAATTTTCGAAAAGCCCTTTTTATTTGTTGAATATTTCAGTGTTCGCCAGTCATCCAAGCAAGTTTTCGATGAGGCCGTTGATGGCATTCCGCCAGCTATTATCTCTGTATGTCTTTTCTTTGTCGTCTACGTCTTGATAGATTATTCAAATTTGATTTAGAGTGCCGAAGCTCACAGTGACAGCGATCGTAAGCGTGACGACCATACTCGGCGTCGTACGCGCAGTCGTTCCCGTAGTCGAGATCGCCGACGAAATCGTCGCGATCCTTCACCTCGCAAGCGACAAAGGTTGGGAACTCAAGAAAAATTGGCTTTATAATCCATCATCCAGCCTGATCTCACATTTGCTCATTTCTGTTGGAAAAATGCTACATAAATATGGAAAATTGTAGGTCCCGATCACGTAGTCGCGAGCGTCGCTCTTCGAGGCGTTCAAGAAGCCGATCACCAAAGCGATCTCGAGCTACCTCCACAAGATGGTGTCTACAGCTTACAAATGTACCATTCCGTTGCACCGAAGGAGATCTCTACGAGTAAGAAATTTGAATTCCATTTGTTTTCGAAGCCTTTCCTGAGTGTTGTCATGTTACTATTTGTTTTGTAGATGGTTTTCCGAACGTGTCCGCCCGTCCAAAATTACCCGCACCTTTTATGCTGACGGAAATGCCTCTGATCGTTGGATTGCCGAATTTGAAAGCGAATCTCTCAGAGAAAGGGCTCAAGGCATTAAGCGTGTGCTTATGGGTCGAGTGATCAAGTTAGTTTGCAAGTATGAGCTCTTGAGGATTTGAAACATTAGCGTGCTTTTTAGGATGGTCCACATATCTAATGAGGATGCCGATGAATTAATGAAGATTGAAGACGTTTATGGTGAAAAGAAAAAGGAAAGTAGCGAGAAGGTAAATGTTGTTTCAACAATCCCTAAGCGGTTTATAAGTCTTATCCGAGCTTGTATGTTAGTGCTTGAATTTTCCATTTTAGCACATGAACGAGATGCCTCACTTCAATTCCGGGCCCCCGCCTTTCCGTGGGCGAGGTGGAGGAGCGCCAACATTCTTTCCAGCTCCTGGTCAGTCTCTCACTTCCTTGATAAATGAAAACAAGATGTCAGGGGTGTATAAAAGAAAGTTAACGCAGTAGGGTAGTAAAATTTGAACTATATTGAAATCTCAATATTTTCGATCTATCTGCATTTCAAATTTTTTCCAAGAGGGAGGGGGGGGGGGGGGGTTGAGATAGGAAGGCACTAATGCATTAGATGATTTGTTTGAAAACTGTATAATATTATCTTGTTCAGTACGAGGTGCAATGGGACCATCTTTTGGACGTGGTGGCCCACATGGTCCTCCTCCAATGATGGGAATGGGAGGTAAGCTCTATTCTCGATTGAGATTACTATGATCATAAGTTTTGTCCTACTTTTTGATTTGACAGCATTTTTTGAGCATTTTTCTTCAGGTCCTGGTTATCGCGGAAGAGGCGGTATGGGTCGTGGTATGCCTTATGATTACGGTAGGGGAAGAGGACGAGGAGCATTTCGTGAGCTTTTTGTTAGATTTTCCAGCGAGGACCCCTTTATACGTGTCTGCTTCAGCTGGCCGCGGAGGTATGCGAGGAAGGGATGATAAACCATTCATGCGTTCTGGTAGAGATATAATGGAAAATGGTGAAGAAAACAGAGAGAATCATCAGATGGACAAATCAAACGTAGCTCCAGTAGCACCACGTAGCCCAGAACCGCAGGTAATATTCGCAAATTTCCATATAGGAGTGACGGCCTAAGATGATGCCGTTTTAGCCAGTAGCTGCCACGGATGATTTGGTTGCCTCATTAGGTCCAAAAGGTACCGTAGTGTCTTGCTGTGGATTCCCTTCTGATGTAACTCTGGAAGATGTGCTGGGATTCTTCCAAGGTTATACAGCTGATCAGAACTCGGTACGAATTCGAATGGGTGATGATGGTGTGCCAACTGGAGAATGCATGTTGGCCATAGATACTGCTGAGGTACAGAATATTTTTTGCTGTTTGGGGAAGGGCATGGGATAAAAATTTCAAGCATGGATTTTTCAGAATTTTGTCACCACTTGAAAAGAGGGAAATATGGTTTTTTTACTTTATACAGCAAGACTAAGCTGCTAAAAAGTAGTCTTAGTGCCTTTGATTGACAAGCTTCTGTATTTCTCGTTTCTTTTAGTGTTATTTCATAATATGGTAATTCATAATTACTTATATCATATTTTTTAGAATGCTTCCAAAGCTGTTTCTTCCTTATCCGGAAAAAAGCTTCGTGGCCAGGTCGTATCCTTGCAATTGGCCAACCCTTGAACAGCTGAGCTGGTCATTTAATGCTCATCAAATCGTTGAATGATGCATTTTGCTTTTATACATTTTTAAAAAGATGTTCTCATTTAGATTGATTCACTTTTGTTGTATTTTCTTCCGTATTCCTACTTGTCGGGTCATCACTTAATCTCGTTGAAGTGTAGAAGTTATTAGCATGTGGTATAATAATACAGTTTGTTTACGTTATACTTGGTAGATTTAGTTGAGGTCATATCCAGCAGAGTTATCCATAATCTTTGTTGCCTGGTTTTTTTGTAAATATCATTGATGTTGATAAAATATTGCTTAAAAGTGAGTTTGCAGTCGTTTTGACGTATTATCTTTCTGGGATTAGCTAGGAAATTTGAAAAACAAAACCAAACGTTGGAAAGCTATAGACGAGCCCTTATGGACTGTCTCTAATAGTATTGTTCTGATACCCTTAGTATTCATATTAGCGAAATCTTACGCAGTTCAAATAACTGAGACACAAGTAAAATCAATGCTGTAAGAGCTGTATTCACAAACGTTTTCGAGGAAAAGTTTCAAAAAAACATTTCCTGAATTCACCAAAAATTTACATCACAGAGTCGGCTAAAAAATTACCAAAGTAGAACGAGGAGTCTAGTGGATTTGTACCTTCGTTTTCTTACATTGATCCTAATCATATTCAATCAATAGTTATTTTCTCTGTGGTAGTTTCAACTGGAGAGGAAATAATTGAGCAAAAAACTTTGAAATCGGAGAGTATTCTGCATACTTTGCCTGTTGGATTTCTCATTGAACTTTCTGGAAAAAGTGATCTAAAAATTCCAGAGTGATTCTCATATTCTGCAGATGATTGTTTTAGAAGGCTGGTGCTGTATTACACTGCCTGAAGTGGTCGGGTTTTGTGCAATATCATCAATCGAAATTTTACAAATACTATGGAGTTAAGGAATTGTTTGAAATTACTAGCGGTCAATTTCAAGCAGTGTGGTGGCTGATGAACAAAATCAACATTGCAAATCCCAGCGACTTTATTTGGTGTGTTATGACCAGCATTAAAAGTAGCTTCAACCAAGGTTGAGGTGGTAAAATTTTATTAGCGTACAATAGTGGGACCCCTTAGTAATCGCCCAAGTCTTACTGCAAAAATGAACTCGGAAGCGAAAATACGCTTCGGAAGGTGGAAGCGGCCGAAGTGGCTGCGCCCATCAACTTGGGTGGTCTGAAGATATCAAGGCCATAACTGGGCTTAAATGTATCTAGACTTTGAATTCTCTCCTCACTATGACCACGGATTTCCCACAGTTCTATCTACCAAAAGCCGAATTATTGACTTGTTATCTCCAGACCATCCACGCCAATGGGCGAAGCCACCTCAATCACTTCTAACTTCTGGAGCGGGTTTCTCACTTCGAAAATCATCTTTTGCAGCGGCACTTGGGTGATCACATAGTTAAGGGAACCCCTATCATACAGCATTGAAATCTCACCATCCTCACTTTGAGTGCTTCCGAAGGAACAACGAGGCAGTAAATGATTTTATTCCGGTTCGTGGGCGCCCTCATAAAATATGCTGTGAACGTTCGATTTCTCATTCTGCAGCGTTTTTCTTTCCTCTAAGCCACCTGCAAGTATCATGAGATTCCGCTGTGCTAACATAAAGTACATGCATGCATATACATCCACCACAATCAGTACAATCGTATTCTCTTTGTTTGCAGAGTAGGAGTCTATACCGGGAAATCTGTTTCATTTTCATGCTTTTCATGCTATCGTCGTGTCTGCGACATTTACACTGTATATGAGAACCTCGAGTCATACTTACTTTTTTGTTCCATCTCTTTCCATTTTCGCTCTTGAACTGGACAGGTTGCGGAAACCACAGCGTATTTACAATCAGTAAAAGGTCCCACAAAAATCTCTTAATCTTGGAGCAAGTGAAAAAGGTTCAAATGGAGTCTTTCTTCAGTGCAGAAATTTTCTCTCTTTTCAAATATAATTATTTTGTTGCAGCTCTGTTTATGCTTTCTGAGTTATTTTTAGACTAAGGCTTTTTATCATATGTAACAAATTCATTCGTCATTGTAAATCCATGATTTCTGCGTAATCCTACTGGCACTATGCCCACTGAAAATACATCAGCTAATCTGTATGCATGTGAAAGCGATGTTTATCATAAGAGGCACCTTGAAGTACGATTCCAATTGTCCTTGATAATTGTATAACCTTTCTGAATGATATTAATAGCGTTTTGCAGAACTGCAGGTTGAATATAGCCAAAAGTAAACAAATTCTCTGTTGTAGAAGTACTATTATTAATTTGATTCGAACAACGCAGTGTGCACTATTCAAAGACGTTTTGCATAATAGAAAAAGCACTTGACCAGTCAACTTCACTAATTCTTGAAAAAGTTTCACTTTAAGACAAAGAACAGCTTTTGGCAAAAGTTCACCAGCTGAAACAAAACGCATCTGGAAGAAATTTTGAGGCTGTAATCAGACTTGAATCATTCTTGCATATATGAGTCATTGAATAAATTGACCTGTGTCCTACATCTCTAAACAGTATGTCGCGCACTACTTCTTATTACTGTAAACCAGGCAGTCAGTCATTCTTCTATAACAGTCTGAGCTGCTCTTTTCGGAAGAGTGTAGGATGCAAAAGTGCTGCGACAAACTAAAGGGTGAATAGCCTTGTGAACATTTAATTAGGATGTTCTGAAAATAGAAAAAGACAACATTACTCATCAAAGAGGCGTATGACCCTGATATAAGAGTGGGGATCGCAAAATTTTATGGGCTATTAGTTTCGGATCTCCTAAAGTTTGAGAATCTTGCTGCCAAGCAGCGCTCAGGGCTCGGCACGAGGTGGCTAGATGAAAATGGAAAAAACGAAGTCCCCCTTGACTTTTGGGTATTTTTACGAAGTCCCCTTTGACCCTCAACCAAATTTCCCCAAAATCCCCAAAAAACGAAACGTCGACTAAAAAAAACGTCGCCAAATCGCCAATTTTGCGTCTCTCTTCGGTCACAAGGTCACAAAAACGAAACCCCCTTTGCTTTTTGTCCCAAAAACGATACCCAGCTTGCTTACAAGCCACCTGTGCCGAGCCCTGGCAGCGCTGCATAATTCAGTGGAAACTGCAGTGGTTCAATTGCCATGAAAATGGTGCGGCACTGGTAATGTTGCAGCTCCACAGTTTGTGAGGGACGGTAGTGCTGCAGTTGTATGACATTGTCGAGAAGGTCCGAATCCGCTGCTGTTATACATGGCCAATCACTTTCAGGTTGGTGATGCTGCAGTGGCACTGCAATGTGCGCCCTCTGATGTGGTGATGCTGCAACACCAACGTTTCGAGGGACGGTAGTGCTGTAGTTGCCATTGCCGAGAAGGTCGGAACCACTCTGTTCTGCTCAGCTGAGAATGTTGCTGTGCAATGCTACACGACTCTGTCGGGATTCCGCGGTGGCTCAACACTACGAAGGTGGTAGTGCTGTAGTGGCACCGCACGTGCCTTGTGATGCTGTACCTAATTCTGCAACATCACAGATAGTGACGGACGGTAGTGCTGTAGTTGCATGGCATGCCGGAAAGCTCCTGTGAGATGTTGCTGGCTGGGATTCCGTAGTGGATCAACACTAAGAATGGTAGCGCTGTAGTCGCATCGCATTGCCGTCAACTCTTACTTGGCTCAACGAGGACAATGTTGCTGTCCCCGTGCTGCCGTAGTGGCTCAATTCCTTTGAGGGTGGTGATGCTGTAGTGGCACCACAATGTGTGCCTTCTCATGTGGTGATGCTGCAAATACTAAAGGCTGTGAACCTACAGTTGTTTTCAATACGTATTGGTTTTTTCTACCGTATGCCTTCCAGCCCCAACATGACGTGGATTGGTGTGGATTGGTGTGGATTGGTATGGGTTGGTGAGGCGCCGCATCGCTTCGGGTTTGCGCCGTTGCTTTTCTCGGCGGCGCCGCACCAATCCACACCAGTCCATACCAATCCACGTCATGTTGAGGCTGGAAGGCATACGGTAGAAATAACCAATACGTATTGAAAACGACTGTAGCTCTGTAGTTGCATAGAATTGTCCAGAAGCTCCAGAATCACTGTGTCGTTGGCTCAACGAGTACAATGTTGTTTTGCGACGTTGCATAGTTTTCGTAGTGGCTCAACACTGAAGATGGTAGTGCTGTAGTGGCACCTAACTGTGTGCCTTTTGGAATGAGGAACGGTGGTGCTGTAGTTGCATAGCATTACCAAGCTCCACAACCATTGCGTAAGTGAGGAAACAAACTCCGCCAGGTTGAACCTCATCTCCGCGGACTGCTGATCCTGCAACGACATGCAAGAACTGCAGAAGGATCATGTGCTAGCGGAAGCCGTTCAAAACTGGCGGAGTTCGTTCTCCGACGCGACACAATGAGGGTAATGTAGTAGGGTAATGTGTGTCATTTGATGTGATGGTGCTGCAAAGTGAGGTACGGCATGGGAGCTGAGGTAGTCAATAAACATACCATACGCAGGATGAAACAGCTCTCGTAATGAAAGGGATGAGCACAAAAAGTTTGTGCCAGAGTGGGATAAGATTTGAGCTGGACACGTGCCGCACACGCACGTTTTTGATTCATCTTCGTGGTAAAGGCAAAAAGTATATTTTATGAACGTGCCCCAGATATCATCAGCAGTCTAAAAATAATTGAAGGGGCGTCTTCGCACTATCCGCATACTCAAACCGATCCCGAACAAGGTCGCGAAATGAAACGAGGAAAGTGGCTGATTTGCGGCGATTAACGGGTGATAAAGAAATTCCTAGGTACGCCAATGTTTGAACGACTTTAACTACGAAATAGTTTAGGTTTGGAAGCAGAGTACATTGATCTGTTTCATTTGCTTGAAAAGAAGACCTGGTGAAGGCTTTTGGCTAGATTTTGCAGAGAGCCCTGCTATCAGTACTGCTCTTTCTTATGTAATTTTCTATTCGCTTACTAAGATGGTTTACTACAGTTTTTTCG